ACATGTCTCATGTGAAATACATATCAAATATGACCTGAAGGTTTAGCAAACACATATTTAACATGAAAGGGCCGCGGCGAATGCCCGAGCACCGCCGACGGCTATGTGCCGTCTCTCGGCCGATCTTAATTTATTGACCGACCACTACAGAATCACTCAACATGATTATTAAACTGAAGCAATTTGAGGACTAATCACACGGATAACATGATTATACTGAAGGCCACAACTCTCGCCCGAAGCCACCCGAGGCCACGCGCGATAGGCGCGGGCGTCGGCTGGGGCCATTTCATCGACTTTACTTCATCTTAACTCAACAAGCTGATCATGCTGAACAATAATTAGACTAAACTGATCATTTAAATGATTATGGTTCGAGAGTTGCCGGAAGAATTTGAAATGTGCTCGGTGATAGTCTTCCTTAAATGGGTACGGCTATAAGCATGACTTGACTTGAACGTCTCGAAATTAAACCGAACATATAGTCTTAAATTGACCTTATCAACATAAACCTAAGTTGAAAAAGGAATTTACCTTGCTGATGGTTCGATTAAAACGGAAAATAGGTCGTGCCTCCTCCTCGCGTGCACTCCGAGCGATGACCTTAAATTGCCGTGTGATTGGAATGGAAATTTGGGAATTTACTTGATTTAATTTGCTGCTGAAGGGGGGGTAATCTAAAGAGGAAATGTACTGCTGAAACGTATAAGGGAAAATGGTGGGAAAATTTCTATCCTCTCCATCTTATATATACACCGTGAGCGAGACCTTGGGGTGATGCACGGCCATCGTGGCCTTCTCTAACTCTCCACACTTGGCTTAATCTCATGCTTAATTTATGACTAAGTAGCCTCTAATAATGCCACATATCATGCTCATAAGACAAAAGAAAAAAAATGATTTCCCCCCTCTCAAGAAAGCTTACGGCTTTTTGAGTGAAACTTGGGAAAATTCACATTATCTCACGGCTTAACCCTAATGATGGTGATTAATATTAATTAATCACTTATCTTATGTTTAATTATTCAATTAAACATAATACTTAATTACCAA